ATGTCTAAAAAAGACTCGCTATAGTAGCAGTTTTTGATTTGTGTAGTTTTTTGGTTGATGACAATTTTGTTGGTCTTTTTGTGGTGTCAGTGGAAACTTATGATAAACTTTAACCTGACTGCATACAAAGGTTTATGGTAATTCGTGACTAAGGCTTCAAAATTTTAAATTTACAATTTATTCCAGGTTTGTAACACTGCTATGACATTTCTCAATTAGCGAAAGCTTTTCATGACACGATTTCTAAAATTTCGTAATAGAAAAATGGTATGCAGATGGTTATTATTGTAGCACTTGGGTTGTCTTGTTTATGTTTTAACTGCATTTGCTAGCCAATAAAGAAAATTTTTATTAAACAGTGTTACATATACAATTCACATTGCAAGATTGGATCTCATCTTCTTCATTTCTTCATATTTATAATTTTACCATTTTATTCCGATCGTTAACGCTTTTCATATATACATACATCCATTCCAACCCAAATATAAATACACTGAGTGCCGACATTTTAATCTTACTTACAGTCTTACCACAAATTGAATGACTAAATGGCGTGCGCGTTGTTAGCGTTTTGTTATTCTAATGGTATTTGCTTATCTCTAGTTCAGTGTTTGCCTATCATTCATTGCAGGCACCGGTCTGGAACCTTTCAATACGAATGTACTATTGCAAGTGATTTTTATCTAACTTTATTACGTAAATAAATCATTCTTTTTCTCTTTCTCTCTTTTTCATTTTTTGTTTTGTTTTATTTTGTTTTTATTTTGCTTTACCTTTTATTAATATTATTATTGGTTGGTGTATTTTTAAGTGCAGCTGATTCGGAGATAATGAGTATTTTTATCACTGCTTGGCTGCTTGAAAATGTATGAATGCTATTTTTATTTCTACAGTTGCTTGTCTCTACAAACGTACGATTGTGTTAATATTTGCTCGTATACACGTGTATATTATTTAGAGTAAATTTAAATTGATTTCGCTTTTGTTACAGTTCTTTTTACACTCCACTTCATTGACAGTTTCTCCAATGCAAGATAAAGTTATTATTCTCAATTTTCAGTCAAAATTTGTAGAGATGCTGCTAAATGTGATCGTATACAAACGCCATACGCGCATTCGCACACGCACACCCACACACGCACACACACACACAAATGTATTCATGCACATGTAAGTGAAAAAATATATATAGTAAACTGTGTTTATAAGATTTGTATGCATGCTAATATTTGTACTGTGTGCCTAAATGCATATTTGAGTCAGAAAAACAACAACCATGACAACAATTTATTCGATCCGCAAGTAAACTCTGTTCTAATCCATAAAGAGGACACGATACAAAGTACGATGTGTTCGTTCGCTCGTTCGTTCGTTCGTTCGCATGAACCCGCACATGCGTTTTTTATCGTCCTGTAAATGCATGCGAAGTGCAGGTGCATAGTATTCATGCATCCATTACGACATGCATTTTCTTCTCTGTATGCATTTCGTTGTTAAGTTCTAATTTCCCACTAAATATTTTTAAATTATTATTCTACAAAGGCTTCCAAATCATTATTTATAGAATCAAATATTGACTTTTAAAATGTATTTTAGATGTGTTAAAGCTGTGAAACAAGCTTAAATTTTTTATTGAATAGCTTCAGTGTGTGAATACGTGCAGTTGCGTTTTGTGTGTGCGTGCGTATGCATCTTTATGTATGTCTTCTTTCACATTCGTTCGTTATCGTTGACGTTTTATGGAGGCAAAGTAAGAAATTCGGTCCGTTTATTCAGAGTCTTTGTACGTTCTTGTTTATGATGTCAGTTTTTCATTTGTGCTCGTATTCCCATATGTGGACTAACTGATGGCTTTAAAGAGAGGATAGGCGTACGAAAATTAATAAGGATTTAACTCTGTTCCAGGGCAGATTTCAAAGTATTTTGAAATAGCCATCTACATTCTACCATTTTTTATTTTGGCTAACGTGTTGATGTTGGAAGAATTTTACATGGTGCGTGCAATTTTTTGCATGATGGTTCTTTGAAGGACGGCGGAAAATAACTAGCGACGCGTTTTGTCGTCATGAACGCATTAAACCAGCTTAAACTCCCGTTTGCGGTCTCATGCTTGGGTCCATGGCTGTTTCTTGTTAAACGAAGTTTTTCAAGAACTTCGTTGGAATATGATAAGTAAGTCAGAAATAAAATGCTGAACCAACCAATTCAGTCTTATTTTTAAGGTTGAGACATCTGCCATCCATATTAATCCATACAAGAATAAGTTTTGAATAGTTGGCGAAGAATTTTATTTTTAAAATCTAGATAGATACCATCACAAAATGTTTTTTTGATGATTTTGCAATAAATGAAAAAATATTTTAATTTTTTTTCATTTTTTTTATAAACATTTCTGCATTGTTATCTACAGCAAAAAACAAATTCAGCAATTTGTGCACGAGGATCAAAATAATTTGAAAGAGCAGACAACAGTAGTTTGCTGTTACGACTTGTAAATACATAAACAGATGCCCATAAATTGCATTTTTAAGCACGTTTGCCAGCCATCTAGTACCAAGAATTTTCAGATAATGCATCTTCCCCACATGTTCTATATAGAAGTTCACGCAGGCGCACGTGCGTACATCCTTACACATACGTTTGCATACATACACACGCACGCACGCACACACTGAAGCAAGCATGCAGAAAAAGTAAATAGAACAGTGAAGAAATGTTAAACCTATTTGTGAGTAATTTGCTTGGGTAGAACAAACATTATCTATTTTAATTATTATTCTGTTGTTTTCATCATTATTTTTGTTTGTTAAAAATTTTGCTATTATAATAAAAATTTATGACAAAACTGTATTAGGAAAAAATGAGTGCATAAATTGTCTGTTAGCGTTAAAGTGAACGTTTAAAAAGGATATAAGGATATGATGATTTTACATTTTCGACAGTAATGTAGTACTGTTATAATATATATATATATATATATATATATATATATATATATATATATATGTGTGTGTGTGTGTGTATATATATATATATCATCTGTTCAGTTGTGACTACATGGTAAGTGCACGTACATACAAAGTCACACAACACACAAACGTTCGAACATACATGCATTAATAGTGATTATTATCATTGTTGCGTGCTAGATTTTATTTGATGTGACTGTAGGCTGAATAACATTACTGAAATTCCTAATTCATTCATATATTTTTTCAGTCATTCTTTTATTCGTTTATTCATTCATTCATTTGCTTGTTAGTTTCTTCATTCATTCTTCAATAACGCATTTTACGTTTTGTAAGCATTTAATGATAATAACTTTAAGTTATATTCATGCCTTATATCTTCTGGCGTATCGCCGCCAATAAAATTCGTTTTGCTTTTACGTGATATTTAATCTTTTGCTGATAAGCTGTAATGTGATGCGTCATCTGATAATAATTCGTGACGTCATCTTTTATTTTTTTATAATTTGATAAAATAAAAAATAAATAACATAATAAGAAATGGAACAGTGTAATTAAGACACTTATGATAGCAACAACAACTCACTTGTTATGAAAAAATTAACTCACAGGAATTTTCATGGAGTATTTTAGTAATAATTATAACGACAACAGTATTTGTTATAATAAAAAGTATAATAAAAATAATAATACACATTATTATAAGGATAATCGTATGTAATAATATTAAAGTGGGTAAACGATTGTTAGCTTCTTACTGTGAATTAATTACGATGTCCTTAAGATTATCGTTTACTGGATCATTCTGCACACACCTTAGCAATCGTTGAAATTATAAGTTGTAATTAATTTTTACAATGATTGGCACAATTATGAAGAAGCACTGTACGAGTTAATCGCCAGGTAGTCGCCGCCGATAGATAACGTAGCGTCGCCACTGTTGAAGTTGTCGTCATCAATCATTTTATCGAATTTACATACATCGTTACGTCGTGATGAACAAGACTCCCCACGACTTACCTGTATTCACTTGGCGCTATACAAATTCATATCTTGGCGCTATATAAATTTACATAGTTGCGTTCAACGGCTCTGGTCGACTAAGTTATTTTGAAATAAAAATATGCGTACATGTTGTGTGATTATCACCAATATAAGACGCAACCAGGTCCGCCATTAAAGTCATCATTAAATAAATTGTTTGCCAGCGTTAATACCTGAAATTTAGATGCATAAGCTATTAAATCAAAAAATTTATCAAGTAAATATGCAAATAAAGATGCCTATGTACATCGTATGTATACTTTGTTTACCTCACGTGCGCAGGTTTTTTGTCTGTGCTTATAAAAAAAAATGCTTTATCGTTTACATGCATAAATGTAAGAATTCGTAGACTTTTATGTTCATATGAATAAATACAAATATGAATATATAAATAAATAATTGAATAAATAAATAATAAAGAAAGAAAAAAGAAGAGAGAGAGAAAGAAACGTATTGTAGGTATAATTTATAACTGCCTATGCTATTGCCGTTTCAATCGTCTAGCGCTGCTATTGGTAACGGTTTATCGGTCTACAAAAAGTTATATTTTTTGTGCTCGAATATTTTTCAATATATTGAGCGTAATGTTGAACATACAGAGACATAAAGAATAGAATGTAGCAAGTTTATGAATTAGTGAAGATAATGTTACATGTTCTTTCATGCATCATCATAGAAGCAATTATTTTTAATTCATGATATTATAATGCAACAATGTTTTCATGAAAAAATTGTAGCTTGACATATTTACTAGGATGTAATATGATGAAAGGAAACGTGCTGCATACAGTACCTGCTGTTATTAATTGCATTTCATTTATTCAAAACTTGAAAAAGTTCATTTCAAACATCTGCATACGCACACGAGTGCTAGCAAACATTATATAGACATGTGATTTGTACGGTAATCTAGTTTTTTATTTATTAACGTTAATATATTTTAAAATTACAGGTGAATAAAGAGCAACCAAGCATCTATCACACATGGCTTATATCGAACGTGAAATTGTGATTCATGAACCATCTGATTATAACTCCAATTGGTCTTCTAGTTACGCTTACGATGATCCGTTAGAAAGGTTGGACAGAGCTAAATTAGATAGAGGTGATTTCTACAGAAAAATGGAAAGCAATACAACCAGAAACCTTCATGTACTGGATTCCCCCTTAAGAGCTATATCTCCTGTTCGGCATTTGGATACATTAGTCGATGAACCCGTTAAAAAGAGTATATCTGATGGCGGTCCCTCTGTTGATTCTTTACCCAGAGTTCCAGAGCCTCATACAAGTTGGCGCTTCTACACGTCGTATGACAATGGAGAATGGAAGAGACACATGGTGCCGGTTTATCATTCAGAAGAAGATGTCTTGAACACAAGTTCAACGTTAGGAGTTCGAGCGAGCATAAGAACTGATAGTGAAAGTAACGTTCACACATCAGAAGCTCTATCTCCGTCTTTCGGGTTGGACTCGAGTATGAGACGCATGAGAATCGGTCGACCGTCAGTTTATGAGACGTTACAAAATCGCAGAAGGAGGTACAGTGAAGGAATCAAAAGACTCCAAGGACCCCGGTCGCCTGACGCCATATTGAATTCAGTTAGTTACATGACTCCCGATGAAATAAAGCGACGGTACGACGTCAAAGATTACGTGCCTCGTAGAAAAACAGAGTATGGTGAACGAGTTATATACCCTAGGATTCTATCGAGTTCATCCACTGAAACCGAACCGAAGCTGTTGACATCATCAAATATTCGTAACGATTTCGAAGAAGTAACAAGAACCATTCATCCGTCGTATTCAACAGACTCAAACTCCAGTTACGAGACAGTACAAGAAAAAAAACCACTTCCTCCACCAGTAATAGACTATGGTTATCAAGAAAAAGTAATCGTTCCCACCAAATATAAAAATCCTAGTGGACTTATCTCTCCCCCTCCTCAACATGCCAAAACCATTTTGGACCTCCTTGATGATCCAATAAACACATCGTCTCCGAGAACATTGTCGCCAAGAAGAGTTGTTCATGACAGGCACGTTGAGCCCAGCCATTTGTACAATGTCCATCATGTTTCCGGCTATGATCATTCACCCAATTACAACACAGAGGTCATCAGGACTGTTGACTTCAATAGCGACAACAACTTCGAAAGAAGAAGCAGAGTGGATAACCAGCCAGTGAGTTACCAGCCAATCATCAGACCGAGAGAGAGCAATGCAACCAAAGAGCGAGAAGTTGTTGTAGTTGTGAACAACTCTCAAGATGACCATCAACAACAAAATTGTCAGCAACATCGTTATCAGCAACATAATCAACCGCAAATTCAACAACAGCAAAATCAAACTAACATTCAGCAACAACAATATTTATACCAACAGCAAAATCCGCAGCAACAGCGAATGCAGCATCAGCAGAAAACTTCAACGTCAATAACACATGACAACAAGCAGCAGCAGCAACAACAACAACATCAACTTTCATCATTTGCATCAAAGCAATCAACAACCTCAGTTAGTCCTTCTCGGGCTGAAGAACTTGCTGCCCATGTTAGAAGCGGTACAATGAATGTCATGCAGCAGATGCAGTCGCAGATGTTTGAAGAGATGAAAAATAAATGTCCCGAGGCAGCAGACGCCATGGCCACTTTGTTATCAGGAGGTGATAAAGAGTCTACAATGGAAAAAAAGGAGGCCTTTGCTGAACAGGTAAGTCTGTGGCAGGGTGGCAAGCCAGTTGAAGAGAAGTTAGTTCAAGAAACCAGATACAAATCTAACGATCCAATATCCGGACCTCAAGATTATGTCGAGAGATCCACTACAACAAGAGACAATGATAGTGGATTTCAAACTGTTATGTCTTCTCCGTTTGTTCCCAGGCAAACAGCCCAACACCGTCATCAATATAAGCACCATCCCGAGCAACATCTACAAATAACCAGCAATCGACTTGTTTCTGACTACCAACCAAGTTCTGTTTTTTATACTCCAGATCATCCCCTGGACAGAAGAATTGACAACGCGGGCATGCCGGCTGGCTTCCTCAATGACGGCAGCAACAGGCAAACGTACCAAAATGTATCTCAACAAAATGTGAACAAGCAAATTAATTTTGAATATGCTCCCGAGAGAAAAACTGAGACTGGCGATAAGATTATTATACCTACGAAATACCGCAAAAATGAACCAAAACCAGCAGCTGCTCATAGAGATTATGAGGACGGATTCACTAACTACATTGCAGTCTGCCAACCGTACGAGCCCCACAAATTCAGTAATAATGATGGTTACACTGAAGGTAGTGCCGCTTCAAGTTATCAACTCTCGTCATCAAACAACCGTCTGAATCATGCGCAGACCATTCCCCAGAGTTCAAATTTCAGTTCAACAGCATTTCGTACGACAAGCAGACAGACGGGCGAGCCTCAGGTTTACGCTACAAAAGTAGCCGTGCAATTCGATTGAGTTATTATAGTTTTATGATTATTATAAACATTACACGATGAAAAGTTACTATCAGACTGAATGTTGTACAATTTGGGATTATTTTATACTGCTAAATGAAATCGTAAGTCCCATGTTAACCATTCAAATTGGACATTTACTAATATGTATAATGAAATACTTTTGATCTATCTTTCGTTTCAACTGTTGAATAAAAATTATTAAATTTATAATAAAAATTATATTTTCTGCAAATGCAAAAACGCTTTTTGTATTAAACTTTTTCATTCATTATTTTTCGTTAACCGTTAAGATGATTATCTAATTAAATGTGACGATGTGAGTTTGTTATAAAGAGCAGCTTAATTATTGTTTTTCAAAACAAACCAGTTATCTAACATATACCATTTCTATCATTTACTAAACACCTAACAAGTAACGCTCTGATTGATAATAATCATTATTCAACGCAATAGTAACACTAATTTATTCCTTACCGATGACAGCTTTTATATTCTTGGTTAATATTACGATGAATCATTTTAATTAAATAAAATTTTTCTAAATGTTTAGAAATGAAAAGTTATTAAAAATAATGATTGCTTCATTTTTTTCCTCCTTCTGTGAATCATCATCGTCTTCGTCATCTCTATCATCATCGTCTTTGTCATCTCCATCGTCATCACCGAGAACTTCGTCACCACCAAGTGTCACCATCATCATTATTATCATTACTTTCGTCGTCATCTTCATCATTGTTGAAATGATAATAATTGTTTTGCACTATGCTAATCATTACACCGATTTTATGTTTTCATTCATTCACCCATATTCATTCATTCATCCATTTATTTATTCATTCATTTATTCATTCATTCTTTTATTTATTCGTTTATTTATTTATTACTTCATTCGTTTATTTATTCGTTTAATTATTAATTAATTAATTCATTTATTTATTCGTTCGTTTGTTCGTCCTATTATTTACCCACCTATTTATTTTCTTAACTACACATACAGTTACAAATAAATGTGCATATATTTTTCATTCAACGGTAGCCGTCTTAGTTCAATTTTTGTTAACATTTTTTCGTTCACTTTCAATTGAATTTTACATTTTACTTTTTAACAAATTTTTCAATTTTTTCTTTCAGTAGCTGACCTTTTTTTGTTATTTAATAAAAAAATATTTCAGTTGGATATATTATACTTATAATTTATTCTTTTGTTTGTTAATAATTTTGAAAGTTAGGGTGATTCACTAGAAAAATTTCATGAGTTCACAGAAATTCAATGCATTTATCATTTCAACTGATTTGTAAAATTCCCAATTTCAACTTTATTCAATTATTCATCAAGGCCTTTCTTGGATTTGGTGTAAATTATTATTCGTAAATTAATTTATTCTAAATTATGCATGCAGACCATTTCTCTCTCTCTCCTCTCTCCCTCTCTCTTTTTCTCTCTATCTGTCTATCTATATCTACCTATATTTCTGATCGATGTGTCATATTTCACTTAAATTGTTTCTCATTTGAGAAAGGTTTAAATATTAATTCTGGAATTAATGCATTTTTTTCTATTTATATTTTAACAATAAATATAAAAACAAAAACGTCTATTTCGTTCAGTTCAATCGTAACTTCTACAAAAACTCTCAAAAAGTTATTGAAAGAACTTTTTTTTACCAACGAAAATTGAATAAATTAATCTTACAAATGTAATTAAATTTCAAAAAATTGTTCATCTCGAAACAAGTTACTAATCTAAGAGATACAAACAGTAAAATGAACTAAACATTCAACAGACATACATACATACATACATACATACATACATACATACATACATACATACATACATACATACATACATACATACATACATACATACATACATACATACATACATACATACATACATACATACATACATACATACATATAATGTTATTATTATATAACATATCATACAATTTGAACATTGAGAAAAATGAACCACGTACGGAGTGACAAACACAATTGTTTATTGTCAGCGGTGACGTTGTAATTGTAGTTACATCCTGTCGACAAACCATCGGTAGTCTGGCTGGCTTTCGTGCCTTCAAACATTATTCGAAGGAATGGCAGTGAATGAATGTTAGTGATGTTGAATGAAGAATGTTAGTGGGGTAAGTTTGCATAAGAAGGAAAATTTTTGAGATTAGACTTGAAGAAAAAAAAACAATGTGAGATGTGTATGCGATTAATCTTTCAACTAACAACATCTCAGCATTAAAGCCGTTAACTTATTTTACGATGCAAATTATTTGGGCTGTGACTAATTTCCGAGGTTAGAAAGAAAAACAAACAGCGAATCAATGTAAAGAAGAAAAATAATAATTTCAATATTTAAATTAAATAATGGGAACAATAGAATCAGCCACATGTGCAACAAAAACTGAAACATGATGAGACTATAAAAAAGTGATTTATAAGTTTATTAGGATCGTCTTATTTTGATAACAGTGAATAAGTACGTCTTGCTGCGAAACTAGCAAATACATTTTATAGAACTTTCTTATGCGAGATAACTATTCCAAAACCAACAAAATATGAATGAAATTTAAGAATTAATAAAACGAGCGTAAGCCAACCTGTATCTGATGATGTTGATGATGATGGTCGTGATGAGGACAGTTACCAGGAAGATGGTCATCGAGATGAAAATGCACACGTGCAATCGGTGCGGAGAGGACCACCTCAAATATTCTTCAGTTATAAATTTTTTAAAATTTAAATCTCAAAACTGTTTCCAATATTTCATCGTTCAAATGTTTAGAACCTAACATTTACTCCTAATCAAATTATATTGATTCCATATCGTTAAAAAAAACATAAGAAATGTAATTGTTTAATTAATCCTATTTAGCGTGCTCAAAAATTTGTAAAAATTCATCCGGGCGTAATTTATCTTAATGTTTTCATTGCAGTGCCAACCAAACAAATTATAATCAGGGCTTAAAAACTTCACTGATCAATGTAATGAAGACGTTAAATAATTTTTAACACACACATACCAACAACCTCACACACAACTCCAAACAGCGTTACAATGTTGTAACCGATATTGCATTGTACTCCGATCGGGCTCGGCATATACACACTCATACAAGCATGCCAACACTCCCAGTATCTCACAGACTACACACACACACACACACACACACACACACACACACACACACACACACACACACACACACACACACACACTGCAAACACAGACTGTTGTTGCATTGCACTCCAGTCCATCCATGCCTGCACACGTCCATGGGACACCTCCCCGTATGCACCTTGCAAGGAAACACGGCACAGAAACAGCCGTACTCACACTCCGGACCGAACTGGCCAAACCTGCAAACTTGACGGGTGGGTGGGGCAGCAATATGAAATTTTGAAAAATATAACTTGTTCAAATGTGAAAAAGTTCTGCAAAAACTAAACATTAAATTAGAAAGTATTATTTATGTTAATTAGTTTTTGTAGGAAATTAAAACTGCACAATTTTTCATGCAAATGGAGTAAACAAACAAAAAAAGTGTATATTTTTAAAGCAAGGTGTAGAAGCAACTGTTTGGAATTTTTTTTAGATAAAAACATCCTATGGTTAATTATCATGATCTGATGTTTATATACATGAGGGTTATCTAATGTTTCAATGAATGAACAAACTAACAAATGAATGAATGAATGAATGAAGAAGAAAAAAAAGATTTATGTAACTCACTTACTCACTCGTCCACTTATTCACTCACTCACTCATTCACTCACCTGGATATAAGGAGTAATATTCACTGCCACCACACCTCAGCTGATCGTTATCCCCGCAGGATTCATCGCAATTCCTCTGACCAACTGCTCCGTGTCTTCCATACGTGTTACCACACAGACACAACCTTCCTTTCTAGCACGTGCGTGTATGTGTGTGTGTGACCGTGTATGTTTAAAAATATGCGTGCGTGCGTGTGTGAGTGGGTGTGTGTTTGTGTGCATAAATATGCATGCGCGTTTTGTGTGCATGTTTTATGTAAACGTGCATGTTGTATAAATGTTTTGAACTGTGTTTTTTTTAATGTTTTTGCTCATAGATGTTAACATATACAGCGTTAGAATGGGCCTTTATGTGCATAGGTATAATTAGGCATAAGTGTTCAACAATAGGTGTACAAGTAAGTACTCGTTGAATGCAAGTGCTTCTGATATGGTATCAAATTGGGTTAACAACTATCCATACTAATGAATCTTACAAAGAAAATAATGAATAAACAAGTCAATAAAGGAATATTAGACATAAATCGGTCTTTTTAAAAATGCCGCAGTACAATTTTTCATCCATCAACACGGAAACGATGACGAGTAACATTTTCTTGACCATCAGGTATCATTCACGTAAAAATTAAAAGATAATCAACAAAAATGATTAGAAAAATAAATGAATCAATGTGTGAACATTTGAGTGAACAACAAACAAGTGAACAAACGATAAACCAGTTACTGACCATGGCACCAGCGTACGTGAACTTTCGTTTCCTGCATACTTCCCTACATGCCTGCAGTGACATGGGCTTGATCATTACCTCCAAGTAACCATTCAGATCAGACATCTGTTAAGGAAGCGTCACGAGATAGTTGATGATTTGAAAAAAAGAAGTATTCACTGTTATTTTTATCATCCTTTCTCACCATTATCTTTTTCTCACTTACACTTACTCTCTCTCTCTCTCTCTCTCTCTCTCTCTCTCTCTCTCTTTCTCTCTGGCGTTTTTTTCTTTTTTTCATTCATTTACCCATGCAGCACATGCACATAAACATGCATGTTGGCATGTGAACATTCACTTGAATGCATATTTGCAGACATTCCTCTTCCAAGTTTTGTTTACACATCTCAGTTTTGTTTTTTGGGATCACTTCATTTCGCTTTCCTAGCAAAAGATTGCGTGCAAACATGCATACACAACTGTTAGGTAAGGGCATACAACGAAATATAAACATACGGAAAACATTTGAATAGAAGTATGGCCTGCATACATTTGGTGTTATTAGTATTAATTATTATCCTTCTTTTCTTTCTTATTATTATACTTTTTATTCTTTTTTAATTAATGTTGTTTGAACTAAGTGAAACAAACTTCTAAATGGTGCGTTGTTTCTTTAAAACATCCCATGTTAATATCCATCTCTTCTACATAATCCTGAATTTCAATACAATTCAACAATTAACAATTTTCTTCAAAAATATTCACCAACAGCAGACACACTTACACACACACACACTCACACATACACACACGCACGCACACACACGCAGACAATCATCCAACCAACCTACAAACCTGAACAACCGGCCTCTGAAATATATACTGTTGCACTGCATCGACAACCAGTTGGATGTACGAGTGGAATAGGGTTCGATCTTCGTTGAAATTGACGCCCAACAATGTTGGCCTTATGACGCCAACTGACTTTTTAGCGACCTCCAACATCATTCTGATGAAAAGATTTCAGTCATTTAATGTTTCAAATGTTTCGAATCATTAGTACCTAATATTAAATAACATTTGTACTTTCAAATTAAGAAAATTTATTAAAAAATTTTTGAATTCGAATAAAGTCAAAATATTAATATGAATTAAATATTAGACAAGTAAATAATAAGTTGACTGGATGACGAATATCATCTATTAAGACGGTGTCAATCCTAAAATCATTAACCTTAAAAATAACGTTCAGAGTATATTTATTTGCACATTTAAATTTATGGCAATAAACTTTGAAGTTGTTGGCCAAAAGATGAAAAAATGTATCTACATAATTTCCCAAAAAATAAATTAGTGAAAATTGAGAGAATGGGTCTCACAGTTTCTTCTCGTTCTCGAGGACTTCCTTTCTCTTGGCCTCATTTGATGGGTTCAGAGTTATTGTCAGATTGGCTAGTTTAAAATGTCATCATCATTGTCATGGTCGTTGTTGTTGCCATCATTTTATTATCATATTGGATATCATCAGTGTCATCATCATCCTCATCATCAACAAAAATATCGTCGTTGTCTGAGTTGAAATAACAAAACATAACATCGTCACAAATATATTTATTTAAAATCTCTAAAAAACAGTATCATCAACAACATCAACTCGGGCATTCACTAAAGATGCCAGCATCAAATTACACATCATCTCATCACATCACTGCCATCATCTCATCTCATCACATCTTACGTCATCGAAAGCCACACCAGCCCACCCACACACAGCAATGAACTAGACAGTAGAGCCCTGCGCGGTTTGCGGTTTAAACCGCAAAAACCGCACCGCAACCGCGGTTTTTTGCGGTTGCGGTGCAAAATCATGCGGTTTTACGCAGTTGCCGTTTTGAAATATGCGGTTTTTCCGCGGCGCGGTTTTTTTTATCAAAATCGCGGTGACCGCAAAAATTTTGTTAAATATTTTTGTTCGTCCATAACATTTTAAAAATTGCATTATCATTGTAATAATTTTATATATTAAAATCTTAATATCTTTGGAAGCCGTTGAAGCAACCATTTTCTTTATCCTGTTTACTTTGAAAGAAGTAGTTATTTTATTTACGGCGTGGTTAATTATCGATTATTTTATAAAAATGTCCGAGGTAAAAAATGTTGAAGTTGATCCACAGGTAGATGTAGTTGATAAAGAATTTTTGATTAAATTGATGCTGTCCAAAAGCAAAGACGTTTCTTTAAAAGCTCAAGTTTCCTATTTTCTGTTCAGCATCCCAGTTTCGAGTGTTTCGTCAGAAAGGGTAGGATCATCTCTCAATTACACTAGACAACAAATTTTAACTTTGTGTCTGCTACTTGAGCAAAATTATATTATCCATATAGAGTTTTTGATGCTGATTTCAAATATGTAATCAGAATTTTTGTAGCACATACAGTTTTTTAGTTATTTGTTTTTTTTATTTTTTTAAAATTTTGCTGTATTTAATGTTCAATTTCAAGTTTTTCATACCAAATTTAAATATCTAAATGTTTTTCTTTGTTCTATTTTATTATCTTTGTCTTTTATTCTTTGAATCTATTTTGTTTCCCTTAAATTTTATTAGTCATCTCTTCTTTTTATTCTTTTTTTGTTCAATTTTGTTATATAAATACACTATTCCAGAACTATATTATAAATATACAATTCTAAATTAATTTTAAATTTATCCAGTGATAAAAATGAAGAAATCTAACCGTAGTTGTTTGAATGAACCAGACAATTTTTGTTATATTTGTGGGCAATTTACACCTCGTGATCAGCGAAAAAATTTGTCAAACAGAATAAAGATTGCCTACTACCATTACTTTGGAGTAAAGGTGGCGGATCAAGAAAGAACCTGGGCTCCACATATTTGCTGCAGTGTTTGCTACGTAGGTCTCACTCAATGGTTAAATGGGAAAAGAAAGCAAATACCTTTTGCCATTCCAATGATATGGCGTGAGCCAAGAGATCACCATTCAGACTGCTACTTTTGCATGACAAATATACAAGGACATTCTAAAAAAACCAAAGCATCAATTGTGTACCCTAACTGTTCATCTGCAATAAAACCAGTTCCCCACAGTGTTGAATATCCTGTTCCAACTCCTCCTACAGACACTGTTCTTTATAGCGAAGAAGAACAAAGTGGTGATGAAAAGGTTGATGTTGAATACAAACCAGATTACGACAAAGATAAACCTCACATGATCACGCAGGGAGAACTTAGTGATCTGGTAAGGGACCTTGGGTTAACTAAAAATAAAGCAGAACTCCTGGGGTCTAGATTACAGCAATGGAATTTACTGGACAGAGGAACTAAAATATCCCATTTTCGTGACCGGCACACCGAATTTGCAAAATTTTACAACAAAGAAGACAATATATGTTACTGTGTAGACATTGCTGGATTAATGACAAAATTGGATGATGAGTATGATCCTGTAGATTGGCGTCTGTTTATTGATTCTAGTAAAGTCAGTCTAAAAGCAGTTCTGCTACATAACGGAAATGTTAAACCATCCATTCCTGTAGCCCATGCAGTGGTTATGAAAGAAACATATGAATCTATGAAGACACTTCTTAAAGTTATAAAGTACACTGATCACAACTGGGATATCAGTGGGGATCTCAAAGTTGTTGCTCTTCTTCTTGGGATGCAATTGGGGTACACGAAACACATGTGCTTTTTGTGTCTGTGGAACAGCCGTGATGATGCAAATCACTATCTCGTCAAAGACTGGCCTGCGAGAATTGATCCGGTACCTGGACAATTTAACATTCTTCACGAATCGTTGGTGAATCCTGATAAAATCTTCCTTCCTCCTCTTCATATCAAATTAGGAATATTTAAAAACTTTGTCAAGGCGCTACCTACTGATTCGAAAGGATTTATTTATCTTAAAGATAAATTCAAAACCACTCTCACAAACGCAAAGATAGCTGCAGGAGTTTTTACTGGACCACAGATACGTGAAGTTATTCGTGACCCAAATTTCAAATTACAACTAGAGCCTGTGGAGTTGCTGGCTTGGGAAGCGTTTGTGGCACTGGTTCAGAATTTTTTAGGAAACCACAGATCAGAAGACTATGTGAACTTGGTAGAAAACTTCATAATGGCATACCAAAACATGGGTTGTAGAATGTCCCTAAAAATCCATTTCCTCCATTCCCACCTTAGCTTCTTTCCTACCAATTTAGGAGCTGTCAGTGATGAACAGGGAGAAAGATTCCATCAAGAATCTCTGTTA